CTTCCAGCCACTGCCTGCCTCTCGGTAGTAGGGGAAGTTGTCACAGATCCACTGGTAGATCTCACTGAGGGTCATCCGTTTGCGCGGCGAGCCGTTGATGGCAAAGGTAATGAGACTGGCATAGCTGTAGGGAGGTTTACCATCTCTGTGCTGTGCAACTTCCTCTTGGTCCAGCGTCGTTCCTGGGTCCAGATGGACGATTTTCTTGCCAGGCCCGTGCCCGTGATGGTGACTGTGGTGATGGTGTCCGTGGTGGTGGCTGTGGTGGTGTCCTGTGTCTGCCTTCTGGATGGCCGCCCTCATGCTGAGCTGGGGCAGCCAGTCCATTGAGGTCAGGCTACTCTCCAGTTCAGAGGTCATGGTGATTGGAGGACGAGGGGTCGAAGGGGAAGGTTGACAGGCTCAGCGACGTGGCGTATGCAGGATCTCCTGTTTGGCTCACTGAATGGGTGCTGTGCAGCAGCCTTGGCTCAAGTCTGGAAGAGCAGGAGGTTTGTTTACTATGCCTATTCATCTCCTTTAGCGGGAGCAGAAAGCACATTTGGCAGAGACACAGATGGTAACTTGCACATTATTTTCCACATACAGTGTAGCTGTGTGTAATGGAAAACTAAATATTTTGACATGTTCCTCACTTGATCTTTAACACTGCACATAAATGTGATCTGTAATGTGAGCTATGGACATATGAAAAAATAGTTGAAATCAAACTGTTCTACCCCATTAATTACACAGTGAGAAGCAAAGCAGTATGGGGGACTAGGTATGAGGGTCATGTCTTACTCTTGCCATTCCTTTCCATCTTTCCTTGGGCCAAAGCATCTGGGGAAGTCACCGAAGTGAAAGGTAGAGTCCGTCCCTCGCGCATGTTCACAAGTTCTTCATTTAGCCAGTGCAATGGCCGCTGCTGCAACACACAAACACAAAACCACACAAGACGGTGAGCTTGCTCTGCCAGACTGCCTTCATAAGATATTAATATCGCACAACCGCTCAACTGGCCTCGGCATCTGTCCAACCCAATTAAAACTCTTCTCTCTTTCTCTCTCTGTGTTCTGTCTATCTGGATTGCCTCTCACTCTCGTTCCCTCCAAAGTGGAAATGGCGATTGGATCTGCGGAGTGACTAAAAGCTGGGGAATTGTTTTCACAAGTGCCTGCCAAATGGGGGGAACAGCTCGGGAGGAATTCCAACCCTCTAGAGGAGCTGAAAGACTCGTCCCCTTTCCCTCCATGTGTTTAACCCGCCGCGCCCCCCAGCACACAATGCACGGCACAGACACACACACACAACAGCGACGATTCCGACACCACCGTGTGTTTTCCATTCTCTGATTCTTCGACGTGCCGTCACTCTCTCCTATTTGCCCAACCCCCACCGCCCCCATGTCACCCCACCCAGCCCCCATCAGCATCTGAGATCCTTCTCAGACAAACAGAAACAATGAAAAACTCGGTAGCTATTTGTAGAGTGGCGCTGAATGTAAGAATGTGTCCTCCTGTGTAAGTAGAGTAGGAGCTTCTTTTTTTGGTGGTGCAGGCTTTTGCAAATAGTTTTAGCATGATTCAGCACAGCACGGACACAATTACACGTGAGAGAAATCCCTCGCCAATTGTTCTGCACTTCAGTCAGTCACCGAGCATTCGTAGATTTGTCACTACTGGGCTGAGAATGTCATGCAACTGTTACTCATCGCTGGGGTGAAGATGCTGCGTTCATGCCACACTGATCCAACGATGAAAATGACCTGGTTTAATGCTACGTGGTCAGAAGACAAACATTCTACATCCTAGTAAATGCAGGTAAACCTATGAATTCTTGTGACAGAGTCAAAGTCCAGTGAATGGTTAATAATGGCAGGATGATTTCGGCCTCCTCATGATATAGAAATCTACATATAAACCTTTATCTACCATCCCATGCAGTAACCTTCGTACGTCCTTGAACAACAAAGAGCCTATTGGCCCACGCGTTTTCCATTCATGCTCACTGTATATAATCAAGGTGGGAGAACATCAATGAGCCTGCCTACCAGGAGGAACGCAAACCCCTCAGTCTCTCTTTCCACCAATCCCCCTGGAGAGTCCAATACACCAGGATGAAAAGGAAGACGGGAAATACTAAGCTACTGCGAAAAAACTTGCTTAATTACAAGCAGAAAAAACAAATGTTTAGTAGCAGGCTCATCAAGCCAAACAACCAGGCAGTGGGACTACAGCAAGGAAAGAAGAACTGAGAGAGGAGATATGCCCGATGAGGCCTCTTGCACAACACCACCCCCATCTCCTCCTCAAGGCCCTGCCACTGTGGGAGAAGCCATAGCCAACCCCCCTCTTCCAAATCCCAGGAAGCCATCTTAATTAGTGCACCTTTTTTTTTTTTTTTTTTTTCGCTAAAGGGAAGGTAGAATGCTAGTTGTAGTGGTGGTGGGTAGGTGGGGATGGGGGTGGTGACACACAAGACACAGAACAACAAGTACTTATTTTCCCCTCATTAAAAGGAGGCGCAAGCTGCAAATCAGCCCGCCACAAGCCCCGACCTGCTGCGCTGCTGTGGCTGTTTTTGTTGAGAAGTTTGGGAGCGTGGGCTGGTTGCATGGCGGCACGGTGTAGCTTTCCACCACTAGCCCGGTGAGGCGTCGGGATGATGAGTAATAGAAGAGAGCGGGGAGAGGAGAGGAGGGGCATGACTTGGCTGCTGGGGAGAGGGGCCCTGCTGGGCGGGTAGACGCAACCAATTACCTAGTCGACTCAGTCAACTGGTCCCTCAGTGACTGGGCTAACCTCAGCACTGTTGCCTTTTGTTCCTGATATCTGCTGTGTTTCACATCAGCCTCAGAGGCTCGCACGGTATCAGGGGAGAGAAATGATGACTGCAGAAAAGACAGCTTACAGTATATCGCTTCTTATCTTAGGGCTATCAGTTTTCTATAAAGATGCATTGTACTGTATGTATAGATACTCAAGTGCCAAACTCTCTGAACTGAGTGCTGTATACATTACCAAAGAGGCATTTTATTCATGTCAGGTAATTGTTCGTGGTTATCTGACTGTACTGAAACAGCAATATATACAATGTAACCTACACTAGGAGAGAAGATGAAGCCCTGTGTGTATTTTCATCTTTGCTGATGTTCCTTCCATTCAAACTTTGCATTTCAGAGCAAAACTCTTGGACTGGAAACAGCCATACAGTCGGTCGACATACGCCACTTACTTCACTTCTGAAGCCTGGAGATGACAGCATCTCAATCGGGTTCAGATCGGTATCAAAAGTGTCTGCTTATGATATCATAAGAAAACACTTTTCAGCCACCTCTACAGCAGCATCTCAAAGACTAAGAGAAGACTGTTTAGTATTACGGCTGCTAATGGAGTTACCCATAATACATTGTGTACAAAATGTTACTTTAAATAGAAAATCAATTCTGTAAAAAATGCTAAGATTTTATCTACTGTTGACTTAAACTTCCAAAAAGTATGTTGGTTTTTAACACTCTACTTTTATAATTAACTGATATGATGTTATTATGATAGCAATTAAAACTCTAAATAGGAAAATTTTAGATGGAACCTCATTAAGAAAACTAATTACCAGACTGCAAAGTCCATGTTCTATGTAACAATTATAACAAAATGTTCTGTTTTCCCTCATAAACATATGATTAACTGCATGTCAGTGAACAGATACAGTAAATTTGAGTGACGCTTCAGAAAATTGTCCCTGGAAGAGGACAGGAGAGAACTAATTGTAATGCAATAACCGAGGGCTTATGCAGAAACCCAACCAACAGAATATCTGCACATAGACTGGAAAACCCACAAGATTCAGCTCTGTATCACTGATCAGAAAACATCAAGAACTTACAGAGAGCTGTAGTTGAATAGGAAATAAAGGTAGGGAAGAGGGGATATTCTGGCAGCTGATTATACAGAAAATCAGCGTTTGATTAAATAGTTGGAACACTTGTGGTATGAATGTGTATCAGAACATACATTTTCAGAGATAGACGTTTGGCTAACATTGGTGGGTATCAAAAGAGGTTCAAAATCTGGCAAAAAGGACAACATATGGCATCTCAGATTTTCGTCTTTACCTGACAAAAAAAAACCAAAAAAAAAAAAAAAAAAAACACGGAAAAAGTTACGAACATGAAAGTCGCGAGACATTAACTGGCACTTCCAGAAAAGATTACAAGCATTAATGTAAAAAGAAGAGCAAGGATTTGGCCGTTTATGAACAAGAAATCTTTCTCCTTCAAAGAATTTAAATACATCACTCTCCGCACTGTGGATGAAGCTTTCATGACTGGGAACATTGTCCCTTTAAAAGAGTTGAGGGTCTGTGTGTGATTGAATGTATTCACCCATTAGACTTTGTAGCTGTGATGCACACACTCAGCTGTGTGCATCACTAACAACTAACAGTCCCCCGCTGCTAGCAGGCTTTTAGACTGAGAGAGAGGCTTTACAGTTCTGCATTTTAATAGAGAACTTTGAATGGAGAGATGGGGGATGTGTGAGAGAAGGGGGGGTGTAGGGAGCCAAAGGAAAGAGGCATCAAAATATTTTTAGAGGAAAATGAAGTAATGACAAAATACCCACCCGGAGCGTGTTGAGCAGAGGGGGTTTCTGGGAGGGACTGCCTTGGCAAGGGTAAGGCTAATGTGTCAAAAGAAAGTCTGTAGGCATACTGAGCACTGTCATGTCTAGAAGTGTGGGCCATTCAAAGGAAGGAGGAAAAGGTCCAAAAAGCAGCATTGAATGTCTTAATTACTTTCTGCTACAGCACCAGAAAACATATCCCTGAAAAGGTTCAATTATAAGATATCAAGGCAAATCAGCTGCCCTTATGGTGGCTGCTTGCTCATCTCTCAATGGAGCAGGGTTAAGCAATTATCGTTTGATACCGTCTACTTATTTTAAAAGAAGACCTGGAGAAGCATCGATGTAATGTACCATTTCAAAATGAAATACATTTTGTGGACTTAGTCCTTAAAGCGAGTGGTCAGGCAAACTATTACCTGAAAGGAAAAATAAGAAAAAGGAAGAATAAAAAATACAAAAAGAGGGGACAATGATTTATCCATGACAGAACAACACTTTCATCAGCGGCTTTGGAAAACTGCTGGCTGGCCCATGTCAACAAGTCAACCTAGTGACATCTCAATTGAAACAGAATGTACTGATTCACACCATTTTTCTCAGGTCTGAAAGAAAATCTGATTGAAAGAAGGCAAGAAAATCAGTAGGTTCCACTGAATCCCTGAAGGCCTAGAATAAAATATTAACTCACTAAGCCCACACAGAACATAACACCTGAAAACATCTGCCAAGGTAGAGGGAGTTAGCGACCCAGAAGACTTACCACTGCCGACAAGGAAAAAGCTATCACAATTCCAGATTCTGACAACGG